TAGTCACGCAAACACTCAAATTCACTGTCATAACTGTATTTAGGCAAATCAATATTTCGCTGAAACTTCGAGTCAAATAGAAGCTCTTACCCCCGCGCGTTTTATCGCCTTTTTGTATAGTCACAGGCCTCGCCCATCAGTTGTACAAATGAGGGGATGATGGTTGAGCTGGCAGCAGGATGGGACTAAAGCGTTCAGGAATCAAGCAATTGAATAACATCTCATTACGACATGTTTGCTCGGAATCTACACCGTTGGGTCAAGGGTACCGATTTCTCATATTTTGCAATCCGACCTAATGAACTAGTCACACTTGCTATATTCATCACCTAAATGTGTCATGGATATAACAATTAAGTATTCCGAAAAGTCCCGTGGTTCTTGGTGTCTTCTTGTGCATGAGTTATCAAAGAAAGTATCTTGATTTCGGCTTTTAAACAATATGAGTGCCACAGATGAAACGTTTCTGAATATTTAAATCATGCTATATTAATCTCTTGCCGCTATTTAGGGTAGAAATCCTTGACCAGTGACATGATGAAAGCGTCAAACCTCTGGTACACTCCAACATATATATTTTGTTTGTGTTTTGTTGTGTGTAACAGCTTGGAAAGAAAATGTACCTTAAACGTCACCAAATCTACCTATACAATCAAATCTAATCTAATCTTATATTCTCAATCAAACAAATTTTAACCTTGATGTGTACACACACCATTCTAATCTAACTTCATAACAAGGCAGTTACATAATAATACCGGAAATGTGTTAGGAATAGTTTAACAAATCATGAATTCTTTGAAGTAGCTTCTGTCTGTGTAGTGATTGAACGGCCTTCAACAACGCCTACCACCTCATCATCCAAAGCTGATTTACCAAACCGAATATACACCAGACATGTAGCTGAGGTTGTCATAGATTTTTAATGGACATATTTCAAGTTTTCTTTTAAAAAGTGTCTGTCCAAGAGAAAAGAAATCCCAATCCACATGATCCAACATCAAACCGGTCAAACTTGATTTTCTATGATGACCTGGCCAAAAAACGTTGATTATATCAAGACTGTTTGGGCTTGAATCTTTATGTGTATTAAACTCCTTTACGTCACATCAATATATTAATCAAAGATCTTCACGTTTGCACCAGTCGGCGAAAAATGGCGCTCCTAATATTTATTGAACAAATATCCAACTGATGTTGGGTCATACTTGAAACGGTTTCAGGGTTCCTTTAAACGTGCAAAGCTTTAGACATTGAACAAAGCTGTAGTGATTGGTCTTTGAGTTCTTCCTCTGGTGTAGACTTTGTTCCAGCAGGTTTCCACATAACATGCACGAATAAGCAGTCCAAGGGTTATAGAAATATATCACTGCCTCCGATCCTGGAGAATCGAACATCTTTTCACGTCCTATAAATCAACGCCTTTCGGCCGATGATACTTGTTGATTACTTTCACGCTCTCTGAGCAACTCAATCATTCAGTCCGCCTCACCTCTCATGCAAATCTTTTTACTAGTCTCGTGTTTTTCTCTCTCATTCTCCCTCCCTCTTCAGTAGCTGACTGTTCTCTTCTTTTACTGGAATTTATTGCTTCACACTACATTGAGGTGAGAAACAGGACGTGTAAGGAAATCGGTATCCTCATAAAAACTCTTCATCCAAAGTCATCACGAATCTCACTATTCATGTCACAGTATTCATCTTATTCGCCCCATTAGTATTGAGCCTCCCTGGGTTGGGATATAAATTCACACTCTCGCTCTACAAGATTTTGTTCAAAGTCAGACCCTCACTTGATGTGTTGACTGGGTGAATGACAGAAGCCACTAGATTCGTTCATTTATCACCCTAATTGTACCATATATGCTTCTCTGGAGGAAGGTGTGCCGCCTATTAAAGAAAAATGTATGAAAGTTCTAGGAAACCTTTACCCACTATCTATAAGGGAAACGGAGTCTCGGGTGGCCCAGCTGTTTAAGGCGCCATATTTACTGTTCACAGTTACTTTCCAGAAGCCCAACACCAACCTGTTTCTAGGTTAATAACTGCCATACCAGTGCACGTGGGTTTTTGCCAAAGTGGTAAACATCTAAGACCTGCATCACTTCGGGGTTTACTCCCAAATTAAGCTGATACGCCGTGATATGACGAAACAAATTCAAAGCAGAGTTAACCAAAATCATTCTCTTATAAGGAAACACGTTTTAATAATCCAAACACTGATTTTCCATTACAACAATCAAGAGATTGGACAATGGATTTTTGACAACTGCCAACCAAGCAAAACTTTTTCATCATGCTGCTACATCCTACTTACTGTTTCTATTTGCTGAATGTACATGGCTCAAGTTGACAAGATGCCTAGGCTGCGAGTCATGTACTTTGGCCGCATCAGAATATAGTTCCTTCATTGTCTTGAAAAACACCAGCCAGAATACTTGACATAGAGACACTGATTCTGTTTTCCCACGCCGTTGATCATTTTATTTCATGACTTGTCTTATCGCTTGTCTTATCAATGATTCATCAACCGAGAGAGAAAATCGTAAATAATACTGTTTTCTATCGTAGACAAGCGTGCAGTGATAGACATGTACACAGCAGTCAACATACAACGGCAGCCAGAAAAGTCGTTGGGTTTGGTTGAAACATATTTTATTCAGCGAAAACAGGGATTCTGGATAACAAGTCACCGAATATATTTACAGCAAATTGTACAACGTCTTTGAGAGGCATTAAGAAGTTGGAGTGCTAAGTAAGGATATGATATATGGATGAACAACTTCTTTAATATAATTTGGGTTACGTTTCAATGTAGATTCTAACACCGTTGTCAAGTGATATCACTTACTTGATAACGGTGTTAGAACCTACACAGAAACGTTGTTCCTAATTGTAATAAAGAAGTTGTTCATCCATATATCTTATCCTTACTACATAAGTGCAAGTACAGACCAGTGGTAGAGTCCAACTTAACTGTGCACAGTGTGAGCAATGCTCAACATCAGTTAGGTACGATGACACACATCGTAAAGGTGAGTCATGGAAGGTGAGTCATGGTGAGTACATGCTGGGTTCATGTCAGTGGAGTCTGGACACACCAGCTCAGCCTTGTTATCAGCAAGAAAAGGTCTTCTTAGTGGCCCTCCATACACTTACCATTTCATCATTCTGGTTGTCCTTCTACTAGTCACATCACTTACGACACGAATGACTCACATCTGTCTTGTATTTTCCGGATTTCTCCGGGGCCTAGTATAGGTAGAATCTTAACGTCATGTACATGTATTAAAATATATCCTTTAAATACGAAGCCCAATGCTAATACCACAGGGGCGTCCAAAACATTTTAAATTATACTATTTTATATGATATTCTGGAACAGTATACATTTGCTCCAAATGTCAAAGGGACAATCTTACTTATATACCGTTGAAACCAAGAAATGATTCCAAAGTGAAGACTCCCGGTTAGTGTCGGGAAAACAAACAAAACCGTAGGTCGCGGTGGTCTTGCTTCGTGGTCCAGTAACCTTCAGGTCGTTCTTTAACCAATACTGTAAACATAAACCATCAAACTGACAACAGTTATAGATATCTATTTTGTTAAAAGACATTCGGTGGGCACATAAAAAACATGTCATAACTAAACAGGATAATCACACATATTGATGCAACCTTAAACCTAAAAGTGTCGATAACTTTGAAACGTCAGTGGCATGAGGTTATCTTACGACCCATTCCATTTTATTCTAGTAAATGTATAGCCACGTGTGTAAGTACTTTTGTTAACGTGGATCACGCCTGAATAAAATTTAAAAAATGTTCCGCAACCAAGCAGGGGAACATCGCACATTCAAAATAAAATCAATGCGTATTCATTGTACATATCAGGAAACACACACACTGTGTTTATGGGCGACATAGAGGTATCCTCTAGTCGTTGCCCACCTTATATTATGGATATGACATGGTAGGAATCAATATGAGCGACATGTCAAGAAATCTATATCGTCTCTTTCAGAAATATGTCATGTCGTGTCATCATGAGGTAACCTCAGCACCAACTAATTATCTTCGACATTGATGCTGGGAATAACTTGTCTGCCATCTTCGGCGCCCCATTGTTTCATCAACATTTGGTCCTAACATCTGATTCCTCACCGAACCTCGACATCTAAGCGTCTTAAAAGTGTGTGTTAAGTCCGTGCCTGCGTGCAGGGTACACTATCAGTGTCGTTCATCCCGCCGTCGGAGACATCAGATTATTGATCAACGTAGCCTTTCTGACAAATTGCACCAGAGAATATATATGCATATGCATACCCACGTCGGGCAGACCCCTATTTACTTGGAAGTCATATTACACTGACTGTATGATAAGGGATGACATTGTATTGCTCATGTCATTTATTGATAGAGGCCATTACACTTCAAAGACACAGACACTGAATATTGGGATAAAGGAATTGGTACTTAGAAATACTTTGATGGAACTGCCGCATACTGAACAGCAGTTATCTGCGAAAAGTATTTTGTACTTATTGAGTATTAAGTATTGATTGAAACGCTTTTTTCAGTATTGGTCCAATTATGTTTGTCTTGTAGTACAAATATTTATCTGAATGTCTGGAATAGTCCACCTACATAAATTTAGAATAGCTACGCTCTCTGTGAGCAATCACTGTCTTCCTGTGCCTCCTTTCCATCGGATTTCCTTGGCGAGATTAACTTACCGTAACAACTGTCTTGGTAAGAGAGCAGCATCTCGTGAACAGCAAATGTACTTTGCGACACCATTTGTGATAGACGTCAACGTTGTGACATCCCCAAGGTCGTTGACGTATCCCGTCTGTCGCCGAGTCAGCCTAAGCCCCTTTCCCCCATCGCTCCCCTCCTGCACATACAAATCGTTCCCCTTAAGTTAATGGGGACCCAAAAATCAATACCAGCACCCTCGCTCTGTGGAACCGGCAGCAAGGACATTCGTCTCTGAGCCTCGCTGTGCTGGAGTCGTTCCTAGGTCCATGTTATCAACTTCAGCATGGTTATATAAGATGTTTAGAGAGCGCATCACGGACGCCATGGACAAGGTAAGGCTGTTATAGTTGTGGGATTAGTTTCACTCAAATCAAGTTGTGGGTGACATGGATTGTCAATGTTTAGGATCCATCCATTCTGACAGTTCTTGGCAATGGTCGATGGCACGTTTGTAGCATTCTGGCACTTTGCGGCGGTACAAGTCACGAGGGAAGACGTTCTCCTTTCGTAAATGCTCTTTATGAAAGGAATGGTTTATTTCTTACAAATTTTACGTATTAAAGAACACCTTGACCTATGACATTGCTGGTTGTTGATGCCACTGTCTGAATTCTGAGAATTGTACCAAAGTACTCAGGTCTGCACACAATTACTGTTACACCCTGCCCTACTAATGTCACACAACCTGAAATAAGTTGCTAGTTTTAATATGCATGGTCACTGTTACATCAGGCAGCGCACTGTCTGATAAACTAGCAAACGTTTTCTTCGAAAATGCATGGCGCTTGGTGGTTTGGTAAATGTCGCATGTCAAGCCAGGCCTGGAGAGTTGCCACTTGTTGCCTGGCAGTTCAAACATTGAAGGTTTCCTGTTGAAGAGGTCCCTCTTCCTTCGTCCTACAGAGTTGTGGTAATCTGGTAGTACCTTGGCTTGTTCTTTCCTGCAAGAAACCAATTATTTGTTGCTGTTATTATGGTAATTCATAACATTTGGTGATCATCAAACAGTTGTTTGGTGTTGATAACATTACCGTTATTTGATCATTCTAACACTGTTATATAGTGATCATAATAGTACCGTTTTTTGGTGGTCATAACATTAACATTATTTGGTGGTCAAAGCATTACCATTATACGGTGATCATAACATTACCATTATTTGGTGATCATAACAATACCATTATTCGGTGATCATAACATTACCATTATTCGGTGATCATAACAAAACCATTATTTGGTGATCATAACAAAACCATTATTTGGTGATCATAATATTACCACTATTCGGTGATCATAACATTACCATTATTCAGTGATCATAACATGAACATTATTTGGTGATCATAACAATGCCATTATTCGGTGAACATAGCATTAAAATTATTCGGTGATCATAATGTTACCATTATTTGATGATCATAACATTACCATTATTCGGTGATCATAACATTAAAATTATTTGGTGATCATAACATTACCAATATTTGGTGATCATAACATTAAAATTATTTGGTGATCATAACATTACCATTATTCGGTGATCATAACATTACCATTATTCGGTGATCATAACATTACCATTATTTGGTGATCATAACATTACCATTATTTGGTGATCATAACATTACAATTATTCGGTGATCATAACATTACCATTATTCGGTGATCATAACATTACCATTATTTGGTGATCATAACATTACCATTATTCGGTGATCACAACATTACCATTATTCGTTGATCATAACATTACCATTATTCGGTGATCATAATATTACCATTATTTGGTGACCAAAACATTACCATTATTTGGTGATCATAACATTACTACTATTCGGTGATCATAACAATTTCATTATTCGGTGATCATAAAATTAACATTATTTGGTGATCATAAAATTACCGTTATTTTGTCATTGAAACACTACCGTTATTTGGTAATCATATCATTTCCGTAGTTTTGTGATCATATCAATACCGTTCTTTGGTCATGAAAACATTACCATTAATTGGTCATCACAACATTAACGTTAATTGGTGACCATAACATTACCGTTATTTGCTCGGATTGGCAAAATCAAAACAGGGGACTTGTTAAACTTAGCCATTCCCTTCCACTGATTTACACACCTGGGTTAGAAATAAGAAGAGACCAGTGGAATCTCCTCATTTGTTTCATATTTAGATATATGCATAACGTTTCAGAGTGACAAAAAATATCTACAAGGTTGTATGACAAGATGTATGACTATTGGAAACATGCCAAAAATATTCCGATGACTCTTGCTCAAAAGTTGTTTCATCAGGGATACAACATTCAAGGCCTTAGGAAGCTTTCAAAGAGTTTTACGATTGGACGCATCCGAGACAAATATGATGTCTGATGCAATTTCCTATTTTCATTTGTACCATATGTTATATTTGTACCCGTGTTTTTTTAGATGAACAATTATCTTGCTTTTGCATGTGTTTGTGACGTGTAAGACAGGTTAGTCATTCTACGCTCACATTTCGCGAAGACCTGTTATCCTCACTATGTGACAGAGATTTATAAACACATATGTATGCTATAGTCAGACACGTGCAATGGGCTATTATGATTATAGAAATGGTTCTGTCGCTTCTATTTTTGTGATAATAACATTAGGATTAATTGGTGATAATAATTTTACCGTTATGTGGCAATTCATAACATTACCGTTATATGATAAATTGGTTATTACCGCTATTTGATGAATTGGTTATTGCAGTTATTTCGTAAATTTGTCATTGCTGACATTTGCTAGCAGACAACATCAACATGTTTTGTAGACCAAAAGACTAATGCTTTATAGAATATAAGACATCTGTAATTGATAGAACATAATATTTATGATATTTTACTCTATAAGTATAATTTTTGTTTGGTTGTACATGATGTTCCTGTTCTTTTGTTGTGTGTGTGTATATATGGATTGTGTGTACTGGACGTAACATGAATGTTGGCGAGAGACAACTATGTGCTAATGACTCTATGCTAATGATTGTTGCCGTGCTACCGGCAAGGAGTACCATCATACCATTATTGTCGGGTAGCGCAAGGTAACGTATCGGTGTTTCCAGTATTTATGATATCGAAACTACAGGACACAATTACGTTTCATATATAGTTCATATGCTGACATCAACAACACCATCATGAAATGAAATAGCGTATAAAGGCTTCAAGATCTTTTGACGCATCACATATTTAATTCATGTGCCTAGCTGCCACGTTATAAGCAGGTGATTAATGCAAGTTGAATAATGACCAAAAGATTCGATTCGTCTATTTCTAAGCTGCAATACCCCAAATGATGTAAACTAGTCAATCAAAATACATTCCCCGCTCATAGCTCAATTCGACGATCAAAACTGGATTTGGCTGTTCCTCCTACAAGGCTTTCATATCGATTTTAATACTTTCCCAGGATTACATGTGGCATAGTACAGTTGGATTTGTGCAGTGCTGCCGCGTGCCGTGGCAATCCCCTCTGGAGGGTTCGTGTTGTTCGCTGGTTATGAAACTCTGCGGCTGTCACAGCTGCACCCGTTATCAAACAAACCCGGGGGTAATGAAGCCATTGACATCAACGTCTACATAAAAACATCTTCCTCCCGACGTTGCCTCCCACATGCGGTTTCGTCGTGCTTGGAGCTGTTTAATTAAAGGCCAGTTTTTTAAATGAATGCCTCGCGAGGACAGACAGGGTGGATGCATTTCCCTTTTCGTGTATTTCGTAAGTTTTAAGAAATCGAAATAAGAAATTTCGACAGGTCTCTGATCATACAGCATACAAGATGTTGTAAAAAATAATAAATTAAGCCATTCTGGTTGCTTTACAGGCGTAAGAAACTAGGGCAACCCAGCTTTTGATGCAATAGTGGAGCGAGTTGGTATGTGTTAAGAAGGAATGGAATATATTTTTTACCTGATAAATACACTCAAATAAACGGATCCGTTCTTCTTCACTTGTACATCACATTGGTTAGTAGTAGACATATACAATTGGAAAGAAAAACGGGAAGTTTTGTTTTGAAAAGTTGATATATATTGTTTGAAAGGGGAAAGGAAAGACATAGTACTGTTGTCATTTACCGTTATGTCTTATATAGGTTGTCGTTGATATCTGCTGTTGGAAGTGAAAAAAGTGAACATATATTAATGTTGCCTATTTACCGTTATGTTTCATAACATTGTAGTTGATATTTACTGATGCAAGTGAAAAAGTGAAGATACATTAATGTTGCCTATTTACCGTTATGTTTTATAACATTGTAGTTGATATTTACTGATGCAGGTTAAAAAGTAAAGATATATTAATGTTGCCTATTTACCGTTGTGTTTATAACATTGTAGTTGATATTTACTGATGCAAGTGAAAAAGTGAAGATATAATATGATGTCTATTTACCGTTGTATTGAATAATCGGCTGATCACTGATGGAAATGATATATAGCATCTAGTGTGTTCAAAACGTTGCCGACCAATTGTTCGGGCACATGCAGGAGTTAGTACCGCCCTTACTAAACATATACTTACTGTTGCTAACTTCTTCTCATCAGTAGACGCATGTTACCAAATCGAAACGCGAAGGTTGACACAGAATTCGGTAAGTAAAGACCTAAATTGGGAAATCAATAAACAACCACACAAGATCAATCAATAATTAACAATCACATTGAAACACACAGGGTTATGTTTAAAAGTATTAAAAGCAATACAATGGGTCAAAATATGTGACAGCAGCAATGAAAAAAACAATCCAAACTACACAAGTCACTGCACACGATTGTCCAAAAATAGCTTCTACTACAAACGTGTACATATCTAAGGGATGTAACTCTAAATTACTAGATGTCAAGGTCACTACCAAAACCGACATTGTACGAGCGCCTCGATCAATTTGCTGCCATTTACATTCAACACTACTGCCTGAAGATAACAATACTACTGCCACACAACAGTATCACGCAATATAACTTGGGGTTTGAGATGATGTCTGTATTCAAACCAAGATTTCAAGATGCGGGTATAGGGAGTGTAGCCACAAGGTTAAGGCGTTCGCTTGTCACGCCGATGACTCGAACAAGGTTTGAAATCATTGTTAAATCCCGTCATATTCACAGCTGGAATACTGTTCAAAGCGGAGGAAATCTAACTCGTATACAGGAAAGTGGCAAATAATGATGACCTACGTTCAATGCTAAACCACTGGACAGTATACAGACTCCGTTATGACCTCGTTAGTTCGAGTGAGTGAATGGTGCTTAACACCACAGTTAGCAATATACAATCTATTTCAAATTGGT